GTCCTGCGCCGGGAACGTGGTGGTTTGCCTAGATTAGAAAACTGAGCGTTATCAGGTGGGGAGCGGTGGGACTGACGGACGCCACTTCGTTACTTCGCCCCACCCACGAAAAGCCCGGCGGGAGAGCACAGCTCAGGAGGTGAAGTGTACTCCGCTCGGGCGCTGACTTTTGAATGCTTTATGTCCTCCCTTAGAGAAGCCCTGGCATCTGGATTTATCTCGGGTTTTTCAAATGCCCCCGGGACGGAATGGAAGGCCCTTTCAGGATCTCAGTGGCTGCCACAGACAGGGCATATTCTGCACTTAAAAGCTTAAGTATGATGCGAATGTTCTCTTTGTCGTTTGTTAGTTAACTGCTAACTGTATTCGTTAAGTTCTCAAAGTCTGGAGATTTGCAGGACATTTAAGAGATGGTCTCGGCCCTCAGAGATACGATACTCCCTGGAGAGGCACCATGCCCAAGAACCTCCACACCTTTCACACTGACTTTTGCAAGAATAACAATTGCACAAAAGCATACTAAAATGGGGCCATTGAGGTTGTAGAATGGCTTAAAATAGTCACACATTGGGTTCCTCTGAGTGAGGCTCTCTTTAATTCTCAGCTTCAAAATGGAGCAGAACACGTATGTACAGAAGGATATTTTGAAATATCAGTTGAGATCACCACCACTTCATTTCCGTGGTCCCCACTCCATTCAGGCAGCTGGGGTATTCTCGATCATTGTCTCCAAGGAAGACGGGCTCTGGCAGAATTCAGAGACAATCGGGGCAATTCCTGGCTTTTGAGTTGTAAAAGCCCAGAAGTTGGGGATTGGAAAACACCAAACAGGCATAATTATTGACTTGAGGGTGGTGGTGGTGGTGGTATTGATAAGTAAGAACAAGGCTTTCTGCCTGAGACCAGATTAAGGTCCCCCAAGTTTGGGAGGCAAGGATAGGGCAAGTAGGGCTTGTAGGAAAAGCTTAGACGAGGGCACCTGTTGTAGGATTTGGGAGAGGGGGTGGGCCAAAGCCTCCTGGAGAAGTGGGAATGGTGGGAATCCCCAACTAGAGTGGAGACAGGCTTGCTCACTTTCCTTGTTAGAACCCCAGGGAAGTCATGGGACTCCAGGTGGCACAGAATGCCTGGGCAGAGAGGCCTGAACACCTCCCAGAATTTCACATGGCCCAGCATGATGCTATGACAACAGA